GCCGATGTAAAGAAATTAAAAAAAAATACAGGCAATTAATTAATTAAACAAGCTGTCACACAATCTAGAGTCAAGGGGTTATTTGTGTGTTAATTACCTAGTGCGTGCAGGTAAACCAGGCAGCCTCCTACAGCAAGTTGAATAGTCCTGTAGCACTGCGCTAACTCGTAACTCGGTCGAGAAGGGTTGGCGTATTGTTGATCATTTTATAGAGCAGCAATTTAAAATAACGCCATTCTTCCTCACAGCGAGAAGCGAAGTTCGAGTAGTATGTGAAGCTAATAGATTTCAGTCTTTTCATAGGTTTACATGTCTTAACCTTTTTCAAGTCCCGGAAATGCAGCAGCTGTATAGTTACTGTGGGAATTGAAATGCTTGATCTCCTTGCTTAAGATTAGTCTGTTGGCCATTGACTCATCAGGGCATTAAGTTGTTGGTCTTTCTTTTGAACAGGTACATATGGTCCTGAGCACTGGGTTACTTCAAGCGTGCATTGTGCAGGTAACCAGCAGTCTCCAATAGACATCGTGGACCACGAGGCAAAAGTTGGAGATGAGTATCAAGAATTACAGCTCGATGGCTTTGACAACGAGTCTTCTAACAAGACGTGGATGAAAAACACTGGGAAAACGGGTACGTTCTGCCCCGCTGGTCTCTGGAGGCCTGTTTGCACGCCATTAAAAACTCGAGCCATAAGGTGTACACCATCCTCCTCTCCCACACGCACCCGATTGCCCTATTTAGCTTTAACCTGAGACCTTCCCAGGTAAAGCAGCTGGGTGTTTCTCTTTGTATTCCTTGCAAAGCTAATGCTGCACATCAGTTATTAACAGTTTGCTGAGTTCCTCCTCAGTATAAAATCATTTTCTTGGCAACTAATTGTGCATCACAATAAAGGGTCGTGTGAGACTTTCAAGATGCATCCTTTAATTATTGGCTGTGAAAGGCTATAGTCTCCAGTGAAATATGTCCCAGTGCAGTGATGCCCTTCTGGATTGAAAAAAAAGGGGAAGATTTAGAAGGCTCTCAAGCAGAAAGGGCGGTAGCTGTGCAAAGTAGCGGTGGTTTTATTAATGCACCGTCGATATCATTACTATATTGAGCTCCGCACTGAAATTAACTCTCTTCGGGTCTATTTGTTCTTGCACTTTGATAAAAGAACCGTCTGAAAACATTGCTTATTTTTTACCAAAACAGTTCAGCAAAAGGTCAAGGCTGATTTATAAGCAAAATTGCATGCGTTTGATTACACTCTAATACAGAAATAGTAAAAAGTGGAAATCATAAGAAGAGCCTTTTCAATTGCCAGGTCAAGAACTTTCAGGTAATTGAATTAAATCTCTAATTATGTTTTATTTAGGGGATCTATTTTTATATCTTTATTAATATTCTGCTTCCGTCTCTGAGGTGCTTTGTACAACATTTCTCCCCTCACCGCAGCTCCTTCATGTACGCTGAGCACCGTGATGTGTACGTGGAGAATGCTTTTCTGGCCTACAATGGGCTTTGGATAGGGATCTAAGAGATCAGCCACAGATCTAGTACCTGCCTTAATGAATTAAAAATCCAGCACGTACATCTTGGGAAGTCCCAAAGAGAACAATAGATGACTCAGTTTTTGGAAGGTATCATTCTGGACTGTATGAAGCCTGGGGACCATTTTTAGTCCTGTTACAGACTTCCTGTGTGATCCCAACCAGGTCCCTTATAGTATGTCTGTACCATCTCCGAGCTGAATGCAGACCTACGCCCTCTTGCGCCTGCACAACCTGCAAACCAGCTCACAAAATAAGCTGCATGGATGGCTTAGGGCCTTAGGGCAGCCCTGAGGCACATGCGCTTTGTGTCAGGTCGCCAGCTGTACAATGGGAAGAATAGCATTGCCTCGACTGCTTGTGGTATGTGGATAAATCCGTTCAAAATTGCCAAGTGCTCAGATTCAAAGTAAATACGATCCTTCGATAGGCACGTTAGATCACTGTAAGAATTACTGTCTGTGTGAAGGAGACTGGCAAAAGCAGTGGGGGAAAAGTCCTGGTTAGCATGAGGCTGGATATGGAGCAGCTGTGCTGTGTTGACCCCATAGCTACAGCTGGTCATTTTGGTACCGTATATTCTGTTTGCATTTTTGATGGCTGCTCATGTTGGGTATAAAGCTATGCCTCATGGTGCCATTTTGAGCAAGAGAAGTCTTATCTTCTCACTTCAACTTGTCAATGCTACAGTCTCCTTGCAGCTTAAGTGATATGCCCAACACAATATGGAAAGTCTGTGGCAAATGGCAGAGAACGTGCATCTTCTGACACTCAGCTGTCTGCCTGCCTCCTAAATCACTGCTCTTCTGTAATTGAGCAAGGGGGGAAAATGGAGAAAATATAGTTTCCATCTTAAAAAAAACAAGGGCTGTTCTTCTGTCACGAGGGATATGGATCCTTTTCAGGATCAATGCTAGTGATGGCGTGTGTTTTCCTTGTTAGAATTGTTGGTATCTGTTTGAATACTCACTCAAAGAAGTGCTAGATGCTTCCCTTTGTAGAAAAGGAGTTCTTGAAGGCTACAAAAGTTTACGGCTTCCACAATCTGTGCAAGTTGCATGGAAGTGAGTGCAGTAATGGGTGTAACTAGTGACACCGAGGTTAGAAGCCAAACGCTACATTCCCTGCTGCGCAAGATCCTGATTGCGGCCTCGCTGCCCAGGGGTGTTAGGAGGCCACGGTCAACAGGAATGCACCGGGAGCTTTTCCAGGCGTCCTGAGGTTAGAAATGAAGGCCGTGCCTTCTCTCACATCTGCCGAGTGCTTTTGATACTGCTACTCTGTTCAAGGTGTTCATGGTCGGATGTGGATTTTTTCCCGACAGGTTCGTGCCTCTCTCAACGGCGGTAACTGTTTACCAGTTTTCTTTAGTAGCGTGGGTCTTTTTCCCCAAACTGCTTCTGCTCTGCTCTCTGTTTTAAGCTGTTATGCTGAGCTTGTGCACGAGCGGTCTGAGCACCTATAGCTGCTCCCCGGCCCTCCACTTTTTCCTGGATTTTGACCTTTTTGCAGGTATGAATTTTGAGTTGGACGTTGATAGAGTAGCAAACCACATCGGCTGTTCTGGCTTGTGGGCAGAACACGGGGGCAGGTTTTGTAGTAAATTACTCTGCTTTTTTGGCAGAAGAGTCTCCGGAGCAGATGGCCCCGTGAGACCTTTCTACTACAGACTGACAGACTCAATAAACTAAACGTCTATTTAAGCAATGATGACGGATGGGGAGGGCATTTCTTAGCAGTTAATAACTGGTTGGAGGAGATGCGGGTCCAAGGGAAAGCCAGGGGCCTTTAACCTAGACACTCATTAACTTCCAGGAAATCCCGGACTCGGATGTTGTTATTACTGATAAACTACTAATTTAAAATTGAGCGAGAGAGATAAATTAATTACTTTTTTTATGCACTGAAAAGTTAAAAGTTGAAATGAAGGTTGCTACCATGACTGTATTAGCTTTCCGGCACTACTGTGCTTTTCACAGGTAAAGACCATTTATGCTAGTGTGTCCCCGGAGCTCCCGGAGCGCTTTGTAAGAAAGACGTGCTGGGAAACCATCTTTTCGGACTCTCGACTCACAGAATAAGAGTAAACATCTCCCCTGCCAAGGCCGCCTAGCTAGCTGTGTATCCAAGATAGCTTTGTTGGTCGTTCTCTTGCTCCCTATATTCCTTCCTTCGGTCTCCTTGAACCTTGCGACTCCCACGTTCTCTTCCTGTGGCTGTTTGGTTGGGATTGCACCAAGCGATCTCCTGCTGTCCCAGTAAGAGAAGGGGTCTAATGGGTAGGGGTCAGCCCAGGGCTTTGCAAGCTTAATGCTCAATTGCTTTCTGCTCCAAAATCTAAGCATTGCCCTCAGCAGAACCGAGACACAACTGTTGCTGAGTTGATTCTCCCCCATGCTCTGTGGCTAAATCATCATGTATCCAGAGGTTGAACAGTGGAGTGCATGGGTATTACCGTGCTAGGTAATATTAGACATTTCATGGGGGCAAAAAACCCACCTGCTGGCAGTAGCAGAATGCAGCTGAGGCAGGAAGATGGCAGGAGTGTTTCATATGACACAGTGTAGTAGGAGATACTGTAAAATGAACAATTACGTGAACATTTCAGATTGTACATCCTCCTAATTATCCTTTTAATTATTCATCTAAAACAAGTAAAATGACCCCTGACAGAGCCATAAATGATTTAGGTCCTATCAAATATTTATAAGATGCGACTGAGTCCCCACGGTGCATTGCAACAGATGCACACAAATCTGTTTTCCCGTATTCATCATCTTGTGCCTTTTTTTACCTATGGAATTTATAACTGATCGAGCGCAGGCTGCAGCATGTAAAATACTACCAGACTCATTGAGAATTTTTTTAAGGAAAGGAGGAGGAAATGGTGCTTGGTAGCAAGCCAGATTGCGTGCAAAGAAGCTCCATTTGGCCAGCAGCAAACTCCCCTGCCGGTCGGTACAAGCGGTGCCCGAAAGCTGGATTTGCCCACCTCTGCCCCAGCAGGCCCCTGGCTCAGTGGAAGGAGGCTCAATTATACCTTTATGGCAAGGAGACAAGCGACAAATATCAGCCACATTGCTTAGTGCTGTTACTGTTAGTAAACGATAATGATAATATCCGCTTATGCCGTGCCTCTCATTGCTGAATGGAAAGCCAGTGTCACAACCCGGTGGGAAAACTTCCTGCCCCTGGGGCAGAGGGCTTGACCCAATGATTTTGCAAGGGCCCTTTCAGCCCTAATGTCTATGAAATCTGTGAAAACAGACTCTGACACAGGAGTGGATTGGTTGAACTGCAACGGTTGAACCGGGAGTCGAATTCAGTTCTCCCAAGCGCAGAGTTGTATCCAGCCTGCACGCGTGAAAGGTGCTCAGTCACAGGGACCCACCCAGGCTAGCAAGGGGGGCTTTACAGATGAGGGAGATGAGAATATGGAGAGGCCCAGTTGTTCTCACCTGCACGAAATGGGCAGGATTGGGTGAGGCCTTCCTGGCAAGTGTGCCCGAGCGGTTTCTGTTTATCCCTGTTCTGCGACACGGTGGTGTTTCGTGAGCCGGTGGACTCCACCGGTTTGTGCATTACCCAGCAGGAGCGTGTGACGTTGCGAGGAGCTCTTCTTGAATGAAGAGGGATAAACTTCATGCCAAGTGTCCTTCGCTGCTGCTACACGCACTCCCGGGTTTAACTCTGCACCCTAGTGCGGCTACGTGCAGCTAAGGAGAGTACACTGCCTGGCTGGGGAGGGGAACCGTGAACAAGGTGGCTCAAATGCCAAGCCTGAAAGGGAGTCCTCCTACCCCAGGCTAGCAAAGCCCCTAAACTGCCGTCTCCTCCAGCTGGCCCGGGGTAGAGCCCCTTCTGAAACGAGCTGGATCTCGCCAGGGGACAGTGGCTCCCTCCCCACCAGCCTGGACCGCAGGACACAGCTAGCTGCGAATGCATCTGCCGCCTGTGCAATCCGTGGGGAAAAATTAGGACTTTCCCTTGCTCCTCTTTCTCTGGAAGGTGTCACCTACTGCAGAGCTGTACTTAGTGACCTTGACCCCGCGTGGGGCTTGGGGGAATAGGTGGGAGGGAGCTCTTTTGTATAAGAGCCTTGCTTCCCTTCCAGTCTGAGCATTTTGCTAGTCCCGAGTGCAGCCAGGACTAGCAAGAGCCTTCCCGTGGCCCTTCCACGCGTGGTGCAGACCTCCCCAGGGCTGGTTAGGCAGGCACAGAGCTGGCTGATGTGGGGCGGTGGGCACTGTTGTGTGTGCCCCAGGGCCTGTGCAACTCAGCGACTTCAGCCTCAAATGTGGGAAGGTGTGCTGGCTTCTTGGCAGGTGCAAAATATATTGGGAATATAAAATAAAACTGTACACGTGTTGGCATTAGCAGATTCAGCAGAAATTAATGTTAGATTCACAAAGGCAGATTCAGCGTATTCACCCGTCTCACAGATGCTGATGGGAGTTGCCTAAAGGTTGAATAAAGGTAATAGTTTAGCCATTGCTTGGCAAGTGAATGCATGGAAACTCGTCCTTGGCTGGCCTTTTTTACAACATTATCCTGTTGTTTCCATGGGATCTGATCTCCCGCGAATGCACAGGCATTGCTCATATTTGTGCTGTTCTTCTAATGAGACCGTAGTACCAGGAAAATAAACTACTCCCCCCATTCAGATGAATGTAATGTACTATATTAATACAATAAAATAACCTAACCGGATCAACAAGTCCCTCAGTAACTGTGAACGCAGTGGCACAAATGCACTAAGCCTCTCCTTCTCCCTTTCTTTCTTGTGTGTGCAGTCGCTATCCTCCTGAAGGATGATTATTTCGTCAGTGGTGCCGGACTGCCAGGCAGATTCAAAGCAGAAAAAGTGGAGTTTCACTGGGGTCAGAGCAATGGATCAGCCGGCTCGGAGCACAGCATCAATGGCAAGAGATTCCCTGTCGAGGTAAGTGGAAGAGAAGTGCGTTCCTGGTCTTGCAAAAAAATAACGTGCTGCGGTAGTTTGTGAGGGATCTGAAACACCAGTGTCTTTCCTATGGGTAATCTATTGCTTTTGTGACCTCTTGGTAGTCTGACTACCATTGCTTGTGCTGTCAAGATGTCGTCCCCTCCTCCTCCTGATCCCTGCTTAAAACTCCCCTTGCCATGAGGTCTACAGCTAATTTCTGACAGCAGTTAGGCAGGCGTGCTGCGGAGACTATTGCCTGTCTTCCATGTTCTCCCTTGGTTTTCTTACACTCCTCATCTCTGTCGTAGTCGCCCGTTTCCTCCTGTCTCGTTCTTTAATGGTGAGCTTGTGTGGGAGGAGCAGACTTGCTATTGTGCCAAGCACCGTGGCTCATGATTGCGGCTCATGAGCACTACCACAGCACTCAGTATTGTTGTGCCTATGCCTTTTCTTTTCCTTGCCATGAAATTTTGCTGATAGTTCTCAGCTTACATAGTAGGGTTTGCATTGCAGATGAATAGCACAAAAGGGAGCTTTTGCTGTGAATCCTGTCCCTATGCTAGGCACTCGGGTAGAGAGGAAAGGCGGTCTTGGGAGCCTCTGGGTGCCGTTCTCAGGCTCCACCACAGTTTATCGTGTACAACTTTGGGCAAGTCGCTTAGGGGAGATTTCCAAAAGTCTGAAGGGAGGCAGGGACTGAATTACCATTCACACCTCTACAGATCTCCCTTCCTGGCTCCGTTTCTCATCTGTTGAATAATAGCTTTTCTGTCCTCCCAGTGTATGAGTTGGTTGCAAGGCCTTGAGGCAAGGATACTCTCTAACCGTGTGTTTAGGCAGCACCTTGCACAATCCGGGCCTTGATGTCTCGGGGACATCTACCCTGATAACAAGGCATTAGTTTTTGTGTTGACCCTTCTTTTACAGTTGGCAGTCCTGGGATGAGCACAGGTGGGTTTTGTTTTATTTATTTATTTATTTATTAATGGTCAAAGGAATATGAGTAACATATCTAGAGCCAGCCTACTTCTCTTTTCATCGCTGTCTTAGGATGTAGAGGCAGTGGACACTGAAAGGACTTGCTGTCAGGGACTGTATTTCCACTTCAGAAGCCCTTTCCTATCATGGGGGGGAAGAGCCCAACCGAGTACCTCTGGTTCAGAATTTAGGCCACTGCTTCTTTTCTGAATATTACGGTGTTTCTGCTCTTTCCAAATAGCTTTCATTTTCAAATAGTTAGCTTAGCCCCTGTCATTCCTAGCCCCCCTCTTTTTTTCATCATAACCACATGGGTGTCTGAACACGGATGTCCTGATGCTAGTAGATTCACTCCTGTCCTTGCTTCCTTCCTTGCTTGCTTCCCAGAGACTAATTATAAAAGCTTGGTCTCTCTTTTTGGGATGCAGATTCCTTTAGCAAGTGCACTCTGCACACTTGGACCGCTTCATTGAAACTCCTGCCAAAGAAGCCACATTGATTTTTCAGGGGTGCTGTGGTTGCTCAGACACTTCCAAGTTTGGGTCCTTGCAGCTCAGACCCGCATACACATACTCACACCGTAGTTCCTTGCACAAGGGGAGCAGGCCCCTCCGAGATGTAACGGCGTATGTATTTGCAGGATGGAGCCTTTAATTTGTAACACTAATTGCAGTTCAGCCTGTAAGTGCCTGCTGTAAGCTTAATTGACTGATGCTGGGAGCTCTGTGCCAGAAACATCGTGCTGCATTCGAGAGGTGGCATTTCTAGGAAAGCTATAAAAAGAAAAGAAAATAGCCCAGAACACAACAATGATGGCCCCACTGAGCTGAGCCCAGGGGCACGGGTCAGGCATTTGTGGAGTACTCAGGTGCACTTTGTATTCCAGGTTTGGCACAACGCTAATGTCAAAGCGTATGAAAGCAAATGTTCTCCGAACCTAATTGGGAAACCAGATGTGGACTGTACGAAGTCCATTAGTTTCAAAGCGCACCCCCTGGGAATGCAGAGAAATCTGTTTCATTGCTCTGCAAACACGGAGTTTAGACGTGTATTCCTCTGCAAAACAAAATACTTGCTGCTAGTCTTTTTGCTGAAGAGGATGCACTGCTTGCAGGAACTAATTAGAAATGTCAGATAGAATACAGAGCCTTATTGTTTGACCATGTTGTTTGTTTTTTATTATTACAACTAATGTGTCAGATGGTAAGGCTGTCTATGTTAATTGGTTTCCTTCATTGAAGCCCATCTGGATCATATTTTTTTTGTGATTTATATGTTAAATTAGTGGATAAGATATATGAGAATGTCCTTTCACTTCATACTTTAAAAGCAAATCAGATCAAAGGCCCTTTATCTTCCCATACTTTTATTTATACATAGCATAATTGTCATGCCTTTTCAAAACACAGCACACACGACAATGTTTTAAATGGTTAGCATCACAATGCAAGCTCAGCAGCTCATCTATCTATTCGATGCTCTTTGCTGATGTTACAGCAATCCTTATCCAGGCACTGTGAGCTTGACTGTATCTGAAGTCACTATCCTTCTTGAGTGGCGGCTGTCCACTGGACCTCGAGCCTCTGCCGACGGCCGTGTGCTAATACCAGGACACTAATATTGGCTGGCACCGTGTCACCTTGACTCTGTCTGCTTCCTCTCCACGTATTAGTGCCCGTGGCTGAGCTGGGTTATTAAGTAGTGCTGTGATGCTGAGGATTAAATCAGTACGATGAGAGTGGCACTAATTCTGGCGAGGAGCACGCGGGCTCCGTACCTGCGTGCAGATTCTCCACTCGCGCACACACCTTTCCCCCAAAGTTGTTCATGTTGCATTCCCCCATTGTAATGAGTGGCTGACTCCCATTTTGTGCTGTTGTCATTCTGTTTGGTTTTGAATTCTTTTTTTTTTTCCTTTCTAGCGTCACAGTAGACTGAGTCTGCGCCCAAAAGCTGGAAGGCATTTAAACTATGAAGTGATAAAAATTAAAAAAGGAAAAGAAAAAAGCTTCCCCCAGGCCAGTGTAGGACCCAGGTTCTCCTCATTAGAGCCAAGAGTAATAACAACAGCAGTTTCATCCCTAGCGCCACGGCATTACTTAATAGACCTGTCTAGGAAGAGGTTTGAACACGGGAGGCAGGCGCGGGGTGGAAGCACACCGTTATAGCAGCTCGTAGGCAGCTAACGGCATTCAGCACCTCTGTTGCAGCACCACTGTGATTTTAAGTTGATTCCTATTCATTTTTATGCAAAATGCTGATTATTTCTGTGAAGAGCAGAAATCAGAAGAGTGATTTTAATCATGACTGTGTTAATTTGATGTGAGCTTCGGCTGTTTATGAGCTTTCTTTTTAATGGCTCTAATTGTCAGTTATAATGTGAACACCATTATACAGTAATATACAGTAATTTATTTAGTAAATGAGAATTTTATTCCAAGGACCGTACTGCTGCATGCCATGGAGACCTAATCCCTTTAAACTTACATGAGCAAACTCGTACTGTCTGGGCCAAATTTGTAACTGGGACTTCAGCTTGGCTTCTAAGATTGCAGCTGCAATTCTGTGCACATCGGCTCCTAGGTTTGCATTTTAGGAGATCTGTTGCTGAGCAGCACAGAGCTCAAGGGGTGATGGAAGAGCTAGTCTCCCTCCGTGTGGATGAGCCTGATTCTCTGGAAAAATATTCCACCCTGTGTCAACTGACCCGTTTCCCTAAAGGACCCTCGCAAACAATCATTTGCACAAGCAGTTCTTGCTCCTCGTGAAATCCAGCACCTAGGATGTTCTTCTGGATCTCAGATGATCCTTTGTGTCACCGCTCAGCTCTCACAAGCAGTTCCCGTTGCCAATTGTACCGAGCGAGACCAACACTGTAGATGCCCAGATCTGTAGAGGGTTGCTTCTTGGCGAACATGATCCCTTTACCTTGGTGCAGCACTTTGTGCTACCATATATCATGCACCAATACATTGGGAAGCATTATGTTCCTAATAAAAAAAACAAAAAGAAAGCATGGAATTTTTTTTTTTTTATGGCAAATGAATTAAATCCATCATCCATGTCTCTTTTTACCAGTAATATTAATGCCTTCTGCCATACCTGAGGTCATTTATCAACAGTGATTCTGAAGTCTTGGAACCTCTCGATGAAATGAGGGGAAGAGATGTGTCTTTTCGTACTTAAAATTGAGTCCTGGTTCATGCTCTGATTTCTGACTGTCATGTCTACTGCTAATATTGGGTCCATAATGGTTTTGGGTGAACTTGTCAAGGCTTTCTGGACTTATCCAAAGAAAAGCATATTATGAAATATTTTCTAGAGACCGGTGGAGGAGCTCCCAGGCTACTTTACCATGCTACAGCTGCCTTGGTCGTTGAGCAGTTGTAATTTTGCTAAGGTTTTCTTTGCAGTGGGCTGTCAGCAGATGTGCAGATTTCTAGGCGCAGGGAGCCAGCAGCAGTTTCATGTGCTCATATGTCACTTGGCAGTTGCTCTTCCAATTCTGTGTGTTCATCAGGCAGGATGTAGAAGTCAGTAAAATGACAGCAGGACCCCAAAAAAGGACTGTTGGGAATATATCACAGCAGGAGGCTTCAGCTGGGCAAGGGAATTCCTCTGTAGCGCTTTCTTGGACGATGATCTTGTAGTCGTGGGCCGGTGCTTAGTGCTCTTGTTGACGGAGGCCTTGGCTGTCTGTGTATTGGTCGTGCAAAGTCGTTCTCGGGGACTTTCACCTGCCGGTTGCTGTCTCGCTCTGCATCTGCTTTGGCATTTCCAGCTTCATCTTTCAGGCGAGGAAGTGATGGCTCAAGTATTCCCAAGCCCCATCTCATTCTTTTGGCAAACAAGACATTTCAGGCAGGCTTTTTTTTGTTAGCTCGAACCTACACTTCCCCCACGGTGCCCCCCAGACCCAAGATGATGGAGAAAAGGTGGAACACCAGGAAGTGCCGGCGACGCGGCACCCTCCCAGCCTCTCTGCTTCTCCCCCTGAGTCCTCCCCTGTTTATAATGGT